GCCCATTTTACAGCGGATTAACTTTTTGCAGAGACTATCGCGATACAACAACCTTAATTAAAGTTTATAGTGAAAATCTCGGAATCCAAGACAGAAAATTATTGTACACGGAGAGAAAAATCTATGAATTTTTTAGTGTAATTTTAATAAAAATTCCTGTGCTGTTTTACAATCACGGTGTGAACTGCAGGCCTGAGAAAAACTGTTTTGCCGCCCAGGGAAATTTTTTCGTGGCAACAGTTACCATCGTCAAGTTGAAGATCGGCAAAAATCGGCATCATTCGGTGTTCATCGCTAACCAATCATATTGGATTAAAAAATATTCGGAGTACAATAAAAATTAAAAGAGAGGACAATAAAAAATAATGATGTGGATAGGAATTTTTAAGGGATTTCCATCAATTTTTTCTTCAAACTCAAATAAAAAATGACAGATCTTCAAATGTTATAGTGCTCTTTACTAAATTGGAGGTACATACGATCAATTACAGAATGAACTAGAAAATTCACGGTATTAAGAGCACTTTTCATTTGTGAATTAAAGAAATTCTAGTATTTCTGGTATTTTACACCATTTTTCTCACGATTTTTCTCTCCCTATGACACCGATCTTTACCGATCTCGATATTCTCTAGATTCCATATCTTGGAGTCCTCTAAAAATGATTGATTTTCTTATTTATTTCAGTACGATTCAATCAAGACTGAACAGATTGCCCCATCGGACTTGAAGAAATCCATCTGCGATCGCTTTTCCGACGAAGAAAAACCGATTACTTGTCTGAGATGAGCTCAATAAGATCAACAAATGGAATCAATTGAATAATCCTGTGATTTTCTAAATTAATTAATGGAATAATAACTAAAAAACAATTAAAGCATCGATCAATTATCATTTTCTGAATATATACACTTCGATTTATGTACAAAAATATAAAACTTCTCAACTAGATTTAACTCTAAAGTACGTCTAACGCCTCGGATTTGGTCCCGCGGTACAACAAATCGTAAAAATGTGAAGAAATAATAAAGCAATCGTCAACAATTTCACGCAAAATCAGTGTCATCCAGATCATTGAGATCCAGAAATTGTCGTTCAATCTCTGGACTGAGCTCCTGAAAGTCGGTTATGCCATCGTCCAATCCTGAAACAATCGAATTATTATTTTTTTCAAATAAATAAAAAAAAAAATAACGCGTGCAGCGCACGTGCCACCTCCAAAGATAGCGCGTGCGACTGCATCTGTATTTCGTATTAAGAGGGGGAAAAAAAAATCCAAAGACCGAGGAATATTATTTTGAATCTCAGTGTGGGGTAAAGGCATAAAGAATGGGAGGAAAAACCTCCTCTGAGATTGCATTTACCCTCTCCCCCTGTTTCGGTTACCATTTCTCGTAATAATTATCACAACTTGGACGAAGGAGTTAAAAATAGTTGTTTTAAACCTTGAGACCAAGACTTAGAGAACCGTCTGTTCCTCAGAATTCAGTGGAAATATGATTTTTCTCTCGATTCAAACATTTAAGGACTATTTTAGCTCGAACTATTTTAATCCATAGGCTAAGAATTGAAGAATAAATGATTCTCTACTTTCCTAGACGAGTTTTAAACGGTAATACTTCCAAACCTAATAGAGGTAGCCATTTTTTTGATAAGAACTTTTATGCAGGGCGAAATAAGAGCTACAAAAAAGTTCCCACAAAGATTTCGCTATCTCCCGTAGATTCAGAGTTATCCTGCGACAACTCACGTTCTACCGAAATCGACTCGTTCCGTTTTCTCGTTTTATTGAATTTTATTTAAAAATGATCGTAAATACGTGGCACTCAATGTATTATTCACTTATTTTGCTCATTTTCATAATCGAAAATAATAGAAAGGATGAGAAGAGATGGATTTTAAATTCTTACCAACGCCATCAATGCAGCTGTCATCATGTCCCAAAATTCTAGCGACAGATTCAAAAGGCACGAATTCAGGTTGACTCTCGTCTATGCCCTCGAGTTTTGTCCAATCCCCAGAGATACCAACAAACTGCCTATCAGTGCTGCTATCACCTTCATAAATTCTGCGATTGTTCTCTTGATTAAAAGATCCTTCGACAGACTTTCTGACAGATTTATCTGGCGTCGAAGACGTCTCCGTGTGATTTTTCACATGTTTTCTGAGGCTCGATGGGTCAGTGTAACGTTTTCCGCAGCCATCCACCGTGCAACGATAGGGCTTCTAAAAGATATAATAAAAATTTGACATTTTGCTTAAAATTTAATCAGTTACAAAAACATTTTCTGATATTTCCCCTTGAATCCCTGATTTTCCAGATGATTAAGTATTTTTTCAACTTGACTATAACGAAATGAT